GACGGAGTTTTTGTGTTCTTACGATAAGCCTAACTAGTAAGTGTTCCACGACAGGGTTCACCAAAGCTAGTTCGAAGTGCAAGCTCAAGCGCATATCATCCTTGACAGTAATATGAATCTTAGGAGGCTGTCTACCTCATCAAATCGCTCAGAAAGCTGTCGAAATTTTTAGATAACCTCGTGTGCTTGTCACTTTGCAGAATCCATCCTCGGAAAACGACCCTTGCGGCTGAGTGTTCCCTCATAGTATGCAGCATTTTCTCGAGAAGGTAAAGCTGTGGTTAGCAGTTTTGATTTATGATATAGCAATGTTAATGAGGTTGACTGCATGCCTACACAAAGGGCGTTCAAGACCCTCTATCAACTCCAGTTTTTCACCCGACTATCGGTGACGAGATCCGGTTTAACCCGCTTAATAGCGGCGATCTTGTCGCAAGAGGGACTTGAATGTTTAGTTCGATGTGAGCAAATGGGTTGCTTTCAAGGGTTATGACCCTAATTTTGTCAGCTCACAGTCAGAGAATTCTGTCAAAAGTCTCGAACAACCTCAAGAAGGAGTGGTGCACCTACAACTCAGCATCTTTAGTCCATGATTTGAAAAGAATGTGAAGATGAAGGCGTAAGGCTTAAGACCACTGAAGCTGGATCGGGGTATGTTTCGGTAATGAGAACTGAACTATGGAAGAGATAGGCATGGTCCTAAGAATCATTGATGCAGTGCTCCCATCACTGTTCGAGAAGTCATCAGAAGAAAGTTCCGATAGACAGCTTCACTGCTTTCTGATCACTGACATCTTTATGAACGCCTTTGTTGTTTCTGCAGATGATTAGTAGCAACAAGTTACCACCATACATTGTCAGGATCCGTAGGTTAGATCGCCGCCAGCTACTAGTTCTGATTGTAGAGATCCCGATCCGAGAGCAGCGAAAACAACTACGCCGAAAGTGCGCTCGTCTGACCTGATTCGTCGTGATTCTGAGGGGAAAAAAGCGGTTTACGCGCTATTCATATAAATAGTCAAGTGTTGATGATATCTAATCCTATTCAACCCGCCTCTTCCTAGCTCTCTTTCATCGCTCTTTCCATGCCCCTCTGTAACATCGCGAGATTTTCTACGAGAATATCAGTTTACTCGTTTGCTTTCGAATCACGTTTCAAAGAGTTTCATCTCGTTGGGGATTTGCTTATTGACACGAACCTTTCAAGGATGAGCAACTTCTGAAACAGAGGATGGGGTAGTACAATGAATTTTATTTCATCATTCAATTGAACACTGATGTTTGTGTACCTTGGATAGTTTGGGGACCATTAAGTGGTTCCTCAATACATTTATGCCTTTAAAAGAAAAGAATGGGGTTGTGTCAAATTATTCGCAACTATTGCCTCTTTATATTTATTTCTCTATATTCTACATTTCACCGTTCCCTTTTCTCCTCACGGAGGACAAGGTGGATAATACATTCGCCCAAGGAATACATGTCTACTAGGCTGCCTCTCTGAATGAGATCGCTTTGCTCTGATTATTTCTTACGGCACAGTGGTTATAAACTCTCTCTCTCGAGTTTTCCAGGCTACATCTTTAGCATTAAGATCGGTAATGAAGTTTTCGAGAAGATTGAAGCTGTTCAATAACTTCAATGATTGTCAGATGCTTCTGCTCATCTCATGCATGGCCGTGATTGGAATCGTAAACTCGATTCCGGTCGACAATGGAGTTGAAGGAGAGCCCGAAATCGAATGCGGGCCCAGCTCAATTACTGTGAACTTCAACACAAGGAATGCATTCGAAGGCCATGTCTACGTCAAGGGCTTGTTTGACCAGCCCGCTTGTAGGAATGACGAAGGTGGTCGGCAAGTTGCTGGTATCGAACTGCCTTTCGATCAGTGTAATACTGCTAGAACTAGGTATGTCTTGATAACATCCATAAACTCCTACATCGATAGTGAATAGTGTTAAGGTCACTCAATCCTCGTGGTGTGTTCGTATCCACGACGATTGTTATCTCGTTTCACCCACAATTTGTCACAAAGGTTGACCGAGCATATAAAATTCAATGTTTCTACATGGAAGCCGACAAAACTGTCAGCACGGAGATCGAGGTATCAGATCTGACCACAGCCTTCCAGACCCAGGTTGTACCTATGCCTGTCTGCAAGTATGAAATTCTTGATGGGGGACCAACCGGAGCACCTATTCATTTCGCGACCATTGGCCAACAGGTTGAAGACTTTTTACACTTATCCTTTCCTTTCTTATTTGAAAATTAGTAACTTTTTCAGGTGTATCATAAATGGACCTGCGATTCAGAAACCACCGACACCTTCTGCGCTGTTGTACACACCTGTACTGTCGATGATGGCAATGGAGACACTGTGCAGATCCTTAATGATGAAGGTTGTGCTCTCGATAAATTCCTTCTCAACAATTTGGAATATCCGACGGATTTGATGGCTGGACAAGAAGCTCACGTTTACAAATATGCTGACAGGTGCTTCAGGAGGACTTATCTAAGGAGTCTAGTTGTCTCAGAATTGAAGTGTGCATATGGATGATGTTCATGATAGCGATGTTTAGGTCGCAACTATTCTATCAATGTCAAATCAGTATCACAATCAAGGAACCAAATACTGAGTGTCCACGTCCACAATGTCCAGAGCCTCAAGGATTCGGTGCAGCTAAGGTATTGCTAGAATTGAACCATTTCAAATATCACTTCCTATTAAAACTGATCGAGACTTCCCAGGAAAAAAATGCATGCTAAGCTGAGGTATTCGGAGGATTGGAGGCCACAAAAAGCTGCCCATGTGACATAACAGCGTTGCGGTTATGTCGCATGGTTACTTTTTGCATGCTCTTTTGGACAATAGCGACTTATCAATCCTATTTTGGAAAAACTTCAAAAGCAATTACTGCCGAATGGAGGTAGAGCAGTGGCGTGGATATGAATTGCTGCGCTTTCTGTCTATGCGATCGTATAGAGTTGCTTCTATATTCATATCTACAACGAGAAAAGGTAGGATCGAAAGAAGAAAGGAAAAGAAAAGAGCTTGAAGAAAGAGTGTCCTGATCATGAAAATGTAGGCAGGTTAATGACCAGCGAAATTCCAGAATTACAAAGAAATGTCGTATCGGGAACAGCTGTTGGCACAGCTTACGACAATTTTTTGTTATCTAATTTCAGGATCGAAGTTATAATCTAGAATAGTGCAAAAGTGGCGAAGAAAACGCGAAAATCAGCGGAATCGGAAGCATAACGCTTCAAAAAAAGAGATGAAATTAGGGGTTGGACGAGAACCTACGAGAAAAGCTGCATGAAAGGCTGCTTTCATAGTCCATGACCAGTCGCGCGACTGGTCGCGGACCCATCTCGCGAGCGACTGGTCGCTCGACTGATTGCGCGATCTTCTCGGGACCGTCCACGGCGGCACCCATAACTAGCGCGCCTCCTCGACCGATCGAGCGATCAGTGGCGCGATCAGTCGAGCGACCAGTCGCTAGCGACTGGCGACCAACTAGTCGCGCGACTGGTCGCNGGCTGCAATACACTGCCTGCGTACAAGGTGTGATTCCTGATGCGAATTATGAAACCTGTACAGCTTTTACAACGCCCGACAACTCGTCCGCCTTGGGCGTGTACGCCAATTTTGGAAGCCTTTATAACGCCCTACCATGACTGTTTTTCCACCCAAAAGCGTCCTCGGGGGTTACAGTTTTATTTGAGCGTGAACCGTGCCTTCAAGGTGGCTATTTTTATATTACTTAGCTTTGCTCCAGCTTTTTAACCCCTATTGTACCTCATACTTCCATTCTGGTCGCAAGCAGTGACAGAGTTCTTAGAAAAAAAAAATTTCGGCTCCCGCTTGTGGATGGATTGCTTCCAAATCTTATGGTTTGACAATACTCAAACCCAGAAAAGTGAGAGCGCGATTGCCGAAGAACTATCTACTTGCATAGGCATCCGAGAGTTTATAAGCACGTTTCGAGTATACTTATTTTGAAATGTGAAAGGGAGGGAAGACGGAATAAATTCAGACTGGAAGTGGTGCTGGTGCACCGCAAGCTAAGGTAGCTGCGGTGGCTGCTAATGTAGCTGCTAATGCTGCAGCCCAGCTGCGATTGCTAAGGAAGAGACAAGCAGGATTGGAGAGCACGCTGGACGTACGAGCTGAGCTAAGTGCTTTGGATATTCACGACAAGGTAAATCGTTAAGTTTGAGTGTGTTCGAGATTTGGTTTTGTCTATGATGGATACTCCATTCCAGAGTGATGAGCTTCCTGATGAGTTGAGGATGATCTCTCCACTTACGGGCGTTCCTCATGGTATTTGCCTGTCACCATTTGGTTTCTCAGTTTTCGTGGGAGCTGCGATGTCTCTGATTGCTGCCTCTGTAGTGTTTGCATCATACTCACTTCGCACTAGNAATAACTGCAAAGTCTGAATCCTGCAGGCTTTGTTGACAGTGTATATGAAAACAGATGTTATTAAGTAATAATTATAATAATAAGCTATTAATTCTTGAGTTTGTTTCTTGTTGATAGATATGTATGCGCGGATGTTCTCGAAAAACTATCCATAAAGTGTATGGGCAAAGAATCCTAAATTATGGCAACCGGTAGTTGCTATAGTTTTTAAACTTCTCTACAGAGATTCTGGTTTGGAAGGATTATATTGCTATATCAAAGTGTATGGCCACCCATTGTTCACGAATCTTCTGAATTCCAAGAAATTCTTTGTTGGCGTTGTTGAGCTGGTTGCGTTTTCAGTTCAGTAATACTAACATTTCATTCAATTCAATGTTTCCGCTGATGGGTTCAGATGGGCGTAAGGGAGACTCGCGTAGGAAGAGGCGATTAGACAGGCGTGCTCTTGGGAAGCTGTAATTGCGAACCGGCACCTATAATCAGAGCCGGGTTCCACGAGATCACGAAGGCAAAACACGTTCCCACTAGAATAGGGGTTGATAAAACTATGGTAAGGAAAGATCGAGAGAGATGTGACATAAGAAAATTGTGCTTACTATAAGCTATCAGAGTCCCGAGAAAATCCCAAGCAGTAAAAACTCACCAAAAACGTAGAAAAACAAACAAACGAGCGCAAACGTAGTGGTACGAAGGAGCATTTCAGTAAAAAAGAGAACGATACTTCTTCCCTGGGTGTTGACGCTTCTTCTCTACCAGAGGGTGGTTTGCCCATTGCGAAACGCATGTCGCACATGACCGCATGCTACTGTTTCGGGCGCTTTGTCTGTGTTCAACATTTTTCTATGCTTCTATGCTGTGATAAGTTCATTCATACATTCGGACCCGTAGGATCCATACATTCGTAGGACTGCACGATCCTCGCATTACTCGGCCTATCCATTCATTTCACACCATGTCTCGATTGGAATATTCTTCAATTCTACATTCAACATATCACATCATATTACAACTTAGATACCATAATATAGGCGAATATTTGCAAAAATCAAACAAAACTCCTTCCGTGAAACGACCGAAAACACGTGAGGCGAAAGAATTGACAAAAGTTGCAACATTCATTTATTCTTCCACACTATGTACTCACTAATGCAGTGTTACACCTAGCATACGAAGCACCTTTGAAGGCACAGTTCACGATAATTTTGGGTAATCCAGATTATGACGAAAAATGAAAGATAAAATGGACTAACCAGAAGTGGCATGAAGGCGGAGGAAATGCGTGAATTGATGTTCCTGAAGTGAAAAAAAGGATAGAAATATCTTTGAAAAGGGGCTGGACGAGAATGAAACCAGAAGTATGAAGAAGAGTGGGGCGTTTGGTTAAGCTATACAATGTGGGTCAATGCATACGTGTGGGTCCTGGTGCAAATAACTGACTACGGTAGGGAAAATTCATCCACTTATAAGCATAAGTAAACAAAATAACCTAGTAACAGCAAAAACAGTTCACCTTTCTCAGCCTCTTGGGGTGGGAAATCGAATAAGGGATCGCGGCAGCAAAAAGAATAACAGAGGAAAAAAGAACGGGAGAAAAACATCGCCTCATCACTCGGCGATTAGCTGATTGTGCGTGAGTCCTAGAACGAATAATAGCAATCTGTATCGTCTCGACACTCGTCTAACGTGACACCAATCGAGGGGCGGGAAGGCCGCGCAAGCCGGGAGCAGGGCTTTCACTATGCCTCAACCGTCGAGTTTTTGGGCGCGAGAGGATCCTTCCTACTGCCCTTGGGGGGCCACTGAGTACTCCTAGGGGAAGAACTCAGTAACTATTTTTAGACCGAGAATTTAAACCGGGAGACGTTCTTGTACAGTTGGCGTTTCTTCTCCTTGATGTCCTTTTAAGTCCAGCAACTTCGTTAGTGTAGGGCGAAACGACGTGATCTCTGTGGATCTTTATGTTTTCAATATGGATTCAATGATACCTGGTGATTCTTGAACTCTTTGTTTGAGATCCCTTCCTCACTACGTGCAATGCCAGGCGTTGACTTCACTAGTACATGGTAAATTTGCGGAAAAACTGAGTGTGAGCTTAAGGCCTCTCCGTCCAATACATTCAAAATGGAGCTGGTCGGAACTGGAAATGGAGTCGGTCTTCAAAAGTTTAAAAATCACTGGGGTGTTTGAAAACTATTGAGTCTCTTCATCGCTTGTATTCGTCCATTCATCACTAAAATTCCAATCCGATTCATCATTTTATTCCGCAGCATCATGCCTTGACTACCATGTCGTCCAGAGCATCTCCTACTTCATCGACTTTTCTTATACTTACATTTGGGACACTGTTAAATGACCCATTCTATTTGTTCACTACGGTTACCTGAAACAAGTTTCCTTTCAACTGGAGGGAAGGAAGTGTAATTCATGCGGAATAGCCTTAAAAGAGAGATAATACACGTGTAGCACATACTTGGCTCCATAGTCGCTGCAAAAAATCGCTGCGTGCTGACGCCGTTGCTTCACGCCGTGAACCACGTCGCGTCCCGAGTGAAAATTTGTGGTTCATAGTGAGGCGCATGGCGGCCAAGTTTTGCTACTGTGAGCAATAGGTTAGTCATGTTTGCAAGCGTGTTACCGTCTGATTGAATAACCCTGAAAGAACCTCAGCCTTTATCAACATTTTGTTGTCGATGTGGACAAAGTAAGTCGACGGATATCGTCGCTATATAGAAAAGAACTTTTGTCTCACTGTTACTCTGTCTTCGGTCTGTATGACTGTCTAACCCGAAACTCGGTATTACCTGAAGGAGCATCGGACTAAGCATTCAATGGGTGAGGTCTAGGCAATATCAAGAGAGCACACAGAGACTCAAATGCTAATGAACTGTATAAGCGGCATTTGTGTTGGCACAAGTGTTTGCTTGTTCACGGAAGGTTTCACTTCCCTGGGTAATCATTGGTCAAGAGAGATTATCATCATGAAGGTGCTTGCCAAGAATATCTAGACATGATATAAAATCATGGCATCATTAGCGTCCATGTTCGACTCTCGATAAATCTTGGCATAGCTTTGCATTTATTTTATAAGATTTTAATAAAACCTGCTGCCAAGATGGTAAATAAATTCTTATCAACTTACGTTTCGGCGTTATCGCCTTCTTCAGAGTTGGAAACCTCCAACAACAACCGGTCGTTTAGNCATGGCATCATTTTTCCTCACACCTTACAGAATTGAGAGCTCCGTTGTCATTGGTGTAATTTTAGGAAGACTCAAAAATGAATTGCCTTCTCTGACCTCGATACCGATATGGATCATTTCGAGGGCTGAATGTGAGCAACATGTATGAACGGTCCTTCACGTCCTTCACATCTTGAGCAAATACTGATTGGTCGTTTCATTACGGCTAGCGAAGTTATACGATGGAAGGTGTAAATTCCGTCGTTTGTGCGTACTCTCTTCAAGATGAAGGTGGTTCATACATTTCTAGGGATCGGAATTTCCATAAGGTTAGAGCAACAAGGTATGACGGCAAAAATACAAGGACTTCAGTAGAGTTAAGAAGGAATCATAGAACGCAATTACAATTCTACACCCTTCCAAATCATATCTGGTTGAGAATTCAATTCATATTTTCCTCTTTGGAAGATGGAATAGCTTTTGAGTTTATTCGCTAAGTTATGCAACATATTATTTTTTTTGGCCATGAACATCGATTCGTACGAAGGCTTAACAATCCGAATCGGACGTTTACGATTAAGAATATGTGGTGCCGTCGCCTACGCACCAACATCAAGCTACGAGAAGAGGAATTGGAAGCATTCCATATGGATCTAGAGGGGTTTTACAGGGAAGACCACACTTTCTTCAAAGTCATCGTCGGTGATTTTAACGTCAAGATTGGCTCCAGAAGAACGGCTGAAGAGCTCATATCGGGACTCAGGAATGGAGTGGAATGAGCGGGGTGTCCGAGTTTATCATGTCTACCCATACTATCCATGGTAACTCGCAGTTCCAGAAGCCTTCTCATTCCCGATGGACATGGGAGTCACCTGATGGACAACTCCGTAATGAAATGGACCTCATCATCTTCAACCGGAGATTTTGCATGGCTGATGTCGGTGTTGTTCGAGGTTGGGATCGGACCATCGTCTCCTCTCCTGCTTCTCAGTGCGTGGAGAAAGCAATGAAGTTTAGGAAACAAAGCCCCATAATCTCCATCAACAGAGACCACTTCGCTTCCCTTGCGAGTAAGCGGGAAGATTTCGTTATCGACAACATCGACGAAGAATACAACCGGCTCGTCGAGCATCTTCACGATAGTGCTACGAAAGCAGAGAGTCTACAAGTAGCCAAGAGACGACTCTTTTCGAAGACTCTCGAACTGATATGATCCAGCGTGGAATCCGCTAGCTACAGGCAATCATGAACAATCGTCCGAATTAGCGAAGCTAAGCACAGAAGCGATAAAGGAAGATCTGATGAGAGAAAAGCAGCAGTTATGGACGAAGCCGCCGAGGCCGAGAAAAGCATTCGCAAAGCCCGGCGGAGCTTCGTCAATCAAAAGACCAATACGGATATCCTTCGTCGTCCTAGCGGAACTGTTACTGCATCCCGAAGCGCAGTGGAGAAGATCATCTACGACCTCTACTCTGATCTCTTCGACAGCCACGTCTACCTACCTACCCACCATCTTAGTCAAGACGGGTACGTCGTCCCTTCAGTTCTCCCTTCCGGAATTCGACACGTCATCACGTCGATGAGGAATGGTACGGCACTCAGTCAGGATTCAGTACAATCGTTTACATCCACACCGTTACAAGACTCATGAAGTGTCGCCGGAGTACAAAATGCCGTTATATCTTACGTTTATCGATTTGAAGGAAGCCTTTGATACCGTCGAGACAGAAGCGGTAATTGAAGCCTTGGGCAACCACAGTGTTCCTACTCAATATGTAAGGATGCTTCGTGAGCTCTACAACAACTCCACGACCAGGATCTCACCATTCCATGAAGAGTTCATCATCAACGTGAAGAGAGGGATCCGACTTGGCGATACCATCTCGCCCAAACTTTTCAGTGCTGTTCGAGAACATCATACATCTATGGAATGGGAAAGCATAGGAATGGAGGCCGACAGCCGCTACTTACATCATCTCCGCTTTTCAGATGATATCGTGCTTATAACACCCAACATCGAGCAGGCGGAATAAATGCTGGCCGGATTCGACAACACCTGTAGAAAGATCGGCTTAGGACTGAACCTAACGAAGACGATGTTCATGCGAAACACCTGATGCTCCTGATGCTCCTTCCATGCTGAACGGAAGGAATATCTCTGGATGCTCCAGCTATGTGTATCTAGGTCGGGAAGTCAACATGATGACGATAAGGCTCCGGAGCTGAGCAGACGGAAACGCGCGGGCCTGGGGAACATTTAAGAACATCGAGGAGTAGTGAAGAAAACGAAGAACATCCGGCTCCGCGCTCACCTTTTCGATACTGCGGTCCTTCCTGGTTTGACATACGCTTTAGAGAATTGGACTTTACGAAAACAGGATGAGCATGCAGTTAGCGTCCTTCAACGCGCTGTGGAAAGGACGATGCTCGGAATGCCCCTATACACGCAACTGCAGAAGGGAATCTGGAGTTCCGTCGACGTATGGAATTCAGGAATGCCGTTGAATACGCCAAGAAATCGAAAATCAGTTGGGCTGGGCACGTCTGCGATATCGTGATGACCGTCGGATAACGGTGGTTAGTGACTGGATCCCTCGGGACGTCAAATGAATACCAGAACAACCGCCGGCCAGATGGTCAGACTCCTTCACGAAAGCTCTGAAGGAAAGAAATGTTTAGTCCCGTGTCCCTCGAGCGAGTACGATTCTCTGGACTACTCTGACTCACGACAGGGACGAATGGAGACGCTACTGACACCCGCTCAAGGAAATCGACTATCAACGGGATGACAGATGATACAGATAATACTAACTACGAAAAAAACAAGGCTTCATGAAAGTCTAAACAGGGTTGCCTGCGTTCACAGAAATTAGGAGCTTTCCCGTGCCGCGAGAGGACACCAGAATCGTCTATTTTGTCATCACTATTCCGTTAGTGTCGAGATAGAAGAAAGGAGCGGAGGCGGTAGATGGTTACAGGATGCAACGTGCAGTGCTAATTATACGATTCAATTCATTTGAAAAAACTAACAGGGATTCGCATGGCCGTATTCATACCAAAATTCCCATTTCAAGCAACAGTGGCTTCGCAGCAGTTACCGTAAACTTTCCTTGAAATTCAATTCATTCCCTTAATAGTGCCCGGACGCGCGCAGGGAAGGGGGCAGCGAACGCGATACGCTGTTCGGATACAAGATACCACACCCTAGCTGGATCATCCCACGATCACCACAACTTCGCGGTAGCAGAATTCCACTGGTATGTAGCCGCTGTAGACAGAATTAGAAACCCATGATCACGCCTTTCCAAGAGGACTGTTTTAGGCCGTGCAAGTTAGGGTGCGTAAGTGGAGGTTGTCTTCAACTATGAAAGAAAGCCCTACTTTCTAAACACAGGATCGACTCAATTCAGTTCAACGTGGAAAAGAACAAAACGCGTAAAGGATAAGATAATTCCCTGCCGACAGCTCCATTTCCCCTTTCCCCCAACATTTCCTGTTGATTTGGTATGATTCGATGTGTTTTGTATTGTAACTGATAGTGACAGATTGTATGCAGCAATGTATTGTAAATAATTAAGGTCTGACGAAGGCATTATATGCCGAAAGCTCACCAATAAAAGTGAAGAGCAAAGAGCTTCGAAAAGTACACAAAACGACAACAAGTTCAAATGAAGCTCAGAGATAGCGGTATTTTGAAATATTTGAAATTCCTGCAGAGCGTAAAGGATAGTTCAATGGGAGGAAGCGTACAGGAGACAACGTTGCAGATACGATTATTTTAAACTGATCTTTGTGTAGAATGTGAGTCCAAGTAATTTGGGGATATATCATAGTATAGTTGTGGAAAGCTAAAGTTGTTGTTTTTTTTTCATTATCCTCTGAGATAGGGCGGAGGTGGTGTAGTGGCAAGTGGTGCACTATACC